ACCTAGAAATGCACCCTAAACTGTTGCTCTCTCGCTATCGCTCTCTCGCTACAGCGAGACGTCTCTTGCTACAGCAAGAAGGTGACAGTTTCAGTCCTTCCTCCTAGGGCCCTTTCGCTGTAGCGAGGACAGTCAAGTACTACACCCTGCACTTAGGCACTTAGCCCATTTTCAGCCTAACCAGTCATGCATATACATATATATACACATTCACAATATATATCTAAAAATACACAAACATATATATACATTTAGATTTATATAAATAACAATAATTAATATTACAAAATTTGGGCGTTACATCCTGCACCTGCAAATTATACAGAACCTATATCTGTTTTGCCTTTACAGGTGATCCTTGGAGATCCGCTTGAATCTAAGAGTGACTCATCAGAAGCTACAGAGTCATTATCATCCTCCCCTGCACCTGATGACTATACTCCTGCTGAGCCTGTTATGGTCAATGGCTTTGTGTTTGAGTAGTTGGTGGAGTAGCTAACTTGTACAATATGGCCCTCTTTTGGTAGGATAGTTTACTGGGCCATGATAGTAGTTGTAGGACACTAATCTTAGTTCTAAATTGTCCCGTAAAGTCTCGTTAGGACTGCACTTTGATGACATGGGCCACTGATCTTTTTATATGTAGTGGTCCTTATATGTATTCCTGACTGTATGTAAATAATATGGTGTCCTATATACATATATGTATCTAGTTACCTCTCTGTAAAATGTATGAGTTAAATTAATTACTATATTTATCCAGATTATTCCATATTTGATTTTCTTTTATTTTTATTTTTATAACGTCTTGCTCCTTTATACATCTAATAATTTACTACTAAATCAATATGAAATGAATGAGTGGAATAAACAAAATTTTTATTAATGTAATGCAACTACTGCATTTAGTAATTATGACTTAAACATAAACTAAATACAGTAGGGTGTTGCAAATTTAGTATCAGAACAGTTCATTTTAGCAAGGGCCAGGATTGGACTGACTAGACTCCATATATATTCTATAACTTTTAGATATAATGCACTAGATTATGACTAAATTATAGAAGTGCATTTGTAAGTGGTGCTTGACCATGCAAGCTATTATTTACTAGCACACTAAACTTAGTGTTGAGCCTGATCAACTCAATGACTCTTGTTTTGTGTGTTCAGAACTTAATGGCTTCGGGAAGGCGAGGTAGACCATGAACTGTACCTAATCAAGAGGACTAGACTGATTTTATGAACACGATGCAAGATATTGCACATGCCATGCGAGAACAAGCGGATGTAGCAACTCAAATGATGGTCCAATTGAGAAGGCAGCCTGAGGCTGGTCACGGAGGGAATCCAAATGGGCCTATAATTGATGAGAATCAAGGAAGGCTCATTGAAGACAAAGACTTGAAGGCGTTGGAAAGACTTCAAGGACTAATGACAAGAGTAAGGGCAAAAAGAATAAATGGAGACTTAGAAAAGATTGTTGCTGTCTTATTTGAAAGAGAGCTCAATTTAGAGTTAGAAAATCCCAAGACAGTCAATTACATATGCTTAGAGGATTTGAAATCTAACGAGTTTTATTAAGATTTAATTATTATATTTAGTTTATTTATTTTAATATTAGTCATTATTTATTTTAAGTTTTTATTTAGGAAAAAAATCTTGTTATTTTATTTAGTTTATTTGAATTTAGGCTTGTTGGTACAAAAAGCCCATTAGGATTTGCATTAGTATTAGTTTACAAGCATTAGACATATATAAGCTCTTATAGACATATTTTTACTTAGTTTTGAATACAATTTGAGATTGAACACTCTTGTGAAAGCGTGTGACTCTTAGGTTTTTGAGTGAGCCAGTTTTCTTGATCTTATCAAGAGGTCAAGACTCTTGTGGCAATCGTTTTTTAGCTTATCAATCTTGCGATTGTGGCACCATTTTCCATCTCTATTCTATTTCTACTTTTTATTAATTTTCTTCTTATTTCAATTCCTATTTGTGCCATAATAATTTCATTTTTATTGGGTAAAATTCAATTCAAGATCATTTAATTCTGCGATACAGTTTGTGATTGTCATCAATAATGGATTTAGAGTATCTTAAATTTGCAGAATTTAGAAAAGCTAACCCACCTAACTTTAGAGGGGCCTTTGATCTTGATAAGGCAGATGAGTGGGTTAAAGCCATGGAAAAATTATTTTCTGTTTTAGATTGTATAGACCGTCAGAAGGTGGCCTTTGCCACCTACATGTTGGAAGCAGACACAGAATTTTGGTGAAATGGTGTACGACAGTTATTAGAAGAATCCCAAACTAAAATTACTTGGGATGTATTTAGAGATTCGTTCTATTAAAAGTATTTTCCTACTTCTGTCCGTAATGTCAAGGAACTAGAATTTATACAACTCCATCAAGGGAACAATAGTATAACATAGTATATCGCTAAATTTGAGGAATTTTGTAAATTCTCCACAATCTATCAAAAGAACCCCCATGAGGTTTGGAAGTGCCTGGAGTTTGAAGGTGAACTGCGAGAGGATATTTTTACCACCATAGGGCCAATGGAGATAAGAGATTTCCCTACCTTAGTTAATAAGTGTCGATTAGTGGAAGACTGTAATAAGAAGTTGGTTGCTGTTAGGTCAACCAGTAATAACTTTAAGAAGGGATTGTCTACGTAAGCCCCAAGGTTCAAGCCTAACTTTCAACAACAGAGGAAGTTTCAGCCTACTGGTAATAAAGGCAAACAACTCAAAAGCCTTTTGGGAACCAGATCTGCAATTAGTGCGGCATGAATCATGGCAATCGCCCATGCCTAGTAGGTCAGAATGTTTGCTTTGGATGTGGCAAACTTGGCCACAAGATCTACGAATGTCCAACCAGGAATCCGCAACAAACCTCTAGACCTCAACGTCAAGGGCGAGTTTTCACAATGGATACACATGAAGTTGAGAACTCTGAGGAATTCATCATATATTTATATTATAAAATCTCAAATACCAAGCTAACAATTAAGATGTTTATTACGAAAAGAAAACCAAAAGTGAGACTAGAACGTCGAAACTAACAAACAATTACCAAATGCAACTTTTATTTTTGGTTTATGTAGTCATGACTTTAAATAATTATATTAGGGTTAAGAAGTTAAAAACTATTTGAATTAAGAAAATTAAAATAGAAATTAAGAAAGAATGAATTCTAATAATGGATTAAGACATTTTAGAAATTAAACAAAGTTCTAATTGATATATTTTTTTTACGATAAGTTTTAATTATCATTATAGATTAAATATTATATTATGTTTTATATTACATATTACATATTATATATATATATATATATAATTTTTTTGGATAATTATATTTATATTAAATTGTTATAAATAAATAAAAATTATTAAATAATATAATTATTTAATTAGATCTATCCAATAGACTCAAAAAATTTCTTTTTAAAGCTTAAGTCTGATCTCTTTATTTAAATAAGCCTTTTCAAAAGTCTAAGCTTGACTTTTTTAATAAACATGTCGAGTCAAGTTAGACTTTAAATAGGTTAGGCTATAGACTCTCGACGAGCAGCCTAACCCATTCCCATCCTTATGTACAGTGATGATGGAGGAGAGTGTGAGGTTGAGATGAGGTGGTGTTGAAAGGGGTGAGAGTGAGAGATGGAGTGGTTAGAATTGTGAGTGGGTAGTTAGGAGGGAGAAGAGAGGGATGTGGGGTTGGGTTTGGGTAGCAGGTAGTGGGAAAGGAGATGAGAAGGGTGATGGTTGAGGTCGGGGTTGGGGTGAGTAGTGGGGAAGGAAAGGGAAGGAGTGGTGGTTGAAGTTGGAGTGGGTAGCTGGAGATGAAAAGGGGAGAGATGGGGTGGGGTGGGGTGGGGTGAGGAGAAGGAGAAAGGAAAGAAGGAAAGGGAAAGAGAGATGAGAAGAAGAGAAAGGGAAAGGGATACAAGAAGAAGAAAGATTCAATTACAAATATATAAAATGTCAGGACTTGTTTGCAATTATATAATATTAAATAAAAAAAAATTATATTATGTGGCATGTCACGTGGTGTTAAATTTATAAAGATCTATTACAAAATATCTATATTTATAGCGACAAAAAACATAATTAAACCAAAATATTACTACATATTTTGTAATTTTTACTAACTTCAATAAATTTTATTAATAATTGGTGCATGAATAGCAAGATTTTTTCATTTTAATTTAAAAATAATATTTCAACTAACTTTTTATAACTAATATAAAATTTAATTACCACATTATTGATTTTTTCCTAAAATTATTATGTTATTAAATTCAATATACTTTTAAACTTATATAAAATTTAATTTTACTATAACATTTCTCTTTGTAAAAAGTATAACAATCAAACTTTATCCCACTGGATGGATCACATAACATCATTGAATTTAGTAAAAAATTTAATTAATCAAAATGTCTCTTTTTAATAAGTTCATTTAAAGTTCATTTGAGTCTTTCTTGACCTTTTTTTACCAAATTAAAAGTAATCAAATCTACTCTTCTTACTAGTGATTTTAAATATCTTATCTACATATTGGCAACCAACTTTAGAAGATTTTTAGTTATCTTTTTTATTGTAGATTACTGTTTATTATCATTTTATATTCTATCTTTTTTTGTGTATTTGTCTATCCACTTTAATATTCTTATTTTTGCCACTACTATATAGAATAGCTTGTCATCTAGGTCGTAAAGTAAAACTTTTGTTTTAAATATATATTTCACGGTTATAAATAACTCTTAATGTATTTCTTCACTTTAACCACTTAAGTTATATTATATGAGTAATATTTTTATTTATTTACCAATCATTTTGTATAATAGCACTTCAATTTTAACTTTCACTGCATATTTTTTATTTTATTTTATTTTGTTAAACTTACAAATACATATACTCTGTTTTACTTCTACTTAAACGAAAATACTTAGTTTCATGAATTACATGTAAAGGAATCATAAGGCTTTAGGATGATCAGAAATGATTCTTACCTAGATTTTTATAATCATAATAAAAAATAGACTAAATCTTCAATTTAGTCTATGAGAGAGTTTGAATCGAGCATTTTAGTCCCTGAAAAATTTAAAATGTCATGTTAATTCTCAACTTCTTTTTCCGTCATCCATTTTTGTTCCTAATCTCAAACTCTGTTAAAAAAAAGTAAGAAAAAACTGACTTGTCACATTAAGTGCCATATGAGAAGCCCATTTGCCAAAAGCAATGTGTTTTGGAAGCCTAGTTAGTAGAAACGACGTCGTTAAGGTAGTGTTAGGGTTATGCACCTCTAGTCTTCCACTGTTAGGATTCTTGGCTGTTGAAATTGGAATTAGAAAAAATTATAGCATTGAATTATGTAAAGTTAGGGTTCGTCGTCCCCAAAATAGAAAATGACTCACAGGATTATTAAGAAAAGAAAAACAAATTCTTCATCTGGTTCTACTTCTTTCACTATAACAAACTTTAATATCTAAATATTCCACCACCAAACACAACTTTAAAGACAAATTTGAATGAGATTCTGCGTATACACTTAGGCTTCCAAAAATGATGTCGTTTCTGTCAACTAGACTTTTAGCACTTATGTGAAAAATCAGCTTTCTGTTACTGTTTTTTAATGAAGCCTGAGATTAGAGACTAAAATGAACGATGGAAAAAGAAGTTAAGGACTACCGTGACATTTGAAATTTTTTAGGGTCTAAAATGCTAGACTCAAACTCTCTCAGAGACTACAATGAGAGTTTAGTCTAAATAATAAAATGAGTTTCTCCATCATGTCTATTTCTAGTCATTCCTACCCTTAAAAACATTGCAAGAAACAAAATAAATAAGGGAATCCTATGTTATGTCTGGCTGAAGCCATTACTGTGGTTCAATCTTACACATTATCATTTTCCCTACAAATCTAATAGACGCATTTTCTTTAGCTTAGGGGAAGGCCGACTCATCATGTCAATTGATTCATCATATATTAGATAGGCACTTGTCTTCTTGACAGTGAATCCATTCCCAAAAGCTACAAAAATTCCAACTTTGTCACCAGGTCCAAGGTTAGATATTATCCCCTGCCAATCCTCATTATTAAAGGAAATTGATGTGTCTCGCTTGTATATATGGTAGATGCACTTTGTGTAATTAACGATCAAGACACTAACAATACACTGAGCTGTCACACTTTCAAGGGTAGATGAATAAATAACCCTGAAAACCATTCCCTTCATGCCGCAATAACTAACTTCAGGTACCTTGAAATATACTGAATGTCCTTCACCTGTATAGGTTAACCAATAAGGACAATTGTCCCCCGGGAGTGAAAAATCAGCAGACACGCCGATAGTTAATCCCTGTATTACAGCAGAAGCTTAGTGATTTATGTAATTGTACTATTGAGATTAACAATTTTGTCCCATTATTTTGTCATTTCAAATTTGAAAGAGGAATAGTGTACTCTAAAAGGAAAAGGAAAATATAGACATGACAGTTAGAAGTACAGCAATAAATTTCAACCATAAATGAAGTATGTTTGAAAGAATGTTTTGATAGTTTCATTTTAGTCAATAGTTGTAATGTACCCATCAGCAAGATGAAGTTAAAGCACATTTATATTTTGATAATAGTTTTTTTTAATAATTAGATATGCCTTCTCTGTCTTTCAACTTTTATTTTGGTAATTTTTGAAACCAAAAGCATAATTCCACAACTTCTTGAAGTTATATTTTCCTATGAAGGGTAATGCTAGAGTAACATTTAGCTTAAGATTCTAGATTCCTACTAATAGAGAGAGGAAAGGAATAACATAAATTGACAGTTTAAAATTTCAGTAGTTATAAATAATCTCTCTGGCTACCTAGTTTGGTGTGATGGAAGTTATAAAGTACCAATTATTCCAAAAGAAAAACATGTAAACCAATAAGAAAGAAGAGAAACACAAAGATAATAAATATAGAAAGTACACAATAGAAAATTTTATTTATAATTAAAACTTTATTTCACTTCATTATTACACACTAGCTCTTTATATTAGTTTATCCAATAGACACCAGAATAAATTCAATTTTCCAGAAACTAAAACTATCAAGACAAAAAATGCAAATGGAAAGTTATTCCATAAAGAGAATCAAACAAAGATGGAACCTGTGATATACTCTTGACAAGAGTGTCTGTAACTATGTGGTAACTTCCCAATCCAATCAAAAGTGATCTCAAGGAAAAATCTGAAACTTGTGGTCCACATGATGTTTCCAATTTAGTAAAATTGACACCATATAGGTCATATAGAATTCTTAATTCACGACTCAGTTGAGCCTTAGAGCTGCATTGCACCCGAACACTTCGAAGTTTTGAAAGTCTGTTAAGCATTGATGCTATATGACCCACATTAATATACTGCAGATCCATGGAATCTAGAGATGATGACAAGCCCTGTGATAGATGAAATAAGGGGTTCGATGTTGGTGTTGTCCAACACCAAATGATTGAGGGAAATACATCACGTGCTAAACCTTCATATCCATACAAGGATAAATACCCAACCCTTTTTGATCTTACTGTTGAACCAGGGATATCTCTCACACAGTCTGCAATCAGTGTAGTCAAAGATTCCATCTGTGCTGTATCCTCCAACTTGTCAATGTTTGAACAACCAGAAAGGATTAGCGTTTTCAAAGATGTCAACTGATAGATCCTCCTTGGGAGATTCCAAAGGCTTGTACAGTCCTTTAAATTTATAACGAGAATATTACTTAGATCTCCAATGGATTCATGTACCATGGACAATATTGGGCAATTTTTGAGAATGAGCTTTTCAAGATTTGGCATGTTTGAAAAATCAGGGGTGTGTGTCAAGTACAACGAATGACTAAGATTGAGAATTTTTAGCCTCTCCAACAACTGCAAGAGAAAATTTTCAGGAGAAAAATTAAAGAAAATGGGGGAAACAACTACTATTTCTATAAAAGAAAGTTTCATGTAACATTTACCTTAGGCTCTTTCCATAGTAGACTAATATTGCTATATTTTAAGTCAATAGCAACTACCTTTCGCTGATCAAAACTGTCAGGTAGGTGTTTTAAGGGAAATCCATGCCAATAGACCCATCTCAGGTGTTGGGGAAGATACTTATCATCTCCAGAAAGTTGTACATGATTCAGTTTCAAAAGTCTTAATCTCACCATTTTCTCAAATGCTTTGGTATTGAAGCAAACTTGACTCCTTTCCAATTGCAAAGCCAAGCCCTCAATAGTGTTAGTTCCCTGTGAAGAAAAAAGAAAAATTGTAGAAAATAAATAAATAAAAGGGATCCTTTGTCATTTTCTCACTAAAAGTGCTGAAGCAATGCTTGAATCTCAATAGAAAGTAAATAAGCAATGAATGAAGTTGCACACTAAGCATTGGTATACTGCACATCACAAGACAAATATTCTTAGTCATGAACACACGATTTTTAGGAAAAAGAAAGAACAAAATGATACTGCATAAAAATAGTTTTGGGATTATGAGAAGATCATGAAGCATGATCAAAAGTTTCAAAACAATGTGTACAGAAAGTTCTTACAGTATGTTTTGTCATGACATCAAGTACATCCTCATGAAACCACAACCGACTACGCTTCTCAGCTTCCTTAGGTGAACATTCAGAAATCATTTCTCTTCCCAAGTCACGTAGCAAACCATGCATTCCCAGCTTGTTATTCTTTTTAACTTTAATGAGGTTCCTTTCCACCAGTACTGCTATTCGAATTTTAGGATAAAATTCACTGTCATTTAGTATCTCAGTGACATAGGCTCTGTCAAAGCCCATAAAGAAACAACATATGTCAAGAAATATACATTTTTCCTTATCATCTAAACCATCAAAGCTTATTCTAAATTTCTCTTGCACTTGATCATTGGGAATTCTCTCTAGTTTTAGCAATACGCTTTCCCATTCTTCTTTTGTCCTCCGATATAAGTAAGATCCAAGGACTTCAAGAGCCAGTGGTATTCCTCCACAGTAAGCAACAACTTTTCTTGAGAGTTCAATGAAGTCTTCTCTTGGAATTGCTTTTCTAAAAGCATGCCAACTGAAAAGCTCAAGGGAATCATTTTCATCCATTTCCTTTATTTTGAAGACATGGTCAACTTTAAGCAAATCAAGTAGGTGTTCATCTTTGCTTGTAACAATTAATACACTTCCTAAACCTAACCTTTCATGGCTTCCACACAGGGCTTTTAATTGCTCATACTCAGTCACATCATCCAGTACCATGAGTACCCTTTTCCCAAGAATTCCATACCTAAAATTTTTTTTCCCCAGTTCAATGCTATCAATTTTAATTTTTCTTTTAAAGACACATGAAAAAAGCTGTTCTTGTAAACGAATAAGCCCTCTATTATTGTTATTTTCACAAACTTCTTTAATATTTTCAAGGAAACTCTTACTCTCAAATTTGCGGCAAATCTTATTGTAAATGGCTTTGGCTAAGGTGGTTTTACCCAATCCATCCATTCCCAAGATCCCTACCATACAAACTTTGCTTGACTGATTGTTTATAAACCTAATCACTTCCTGCGCACGGGATTCCAATCCAACTGGAAATTTGGCAGTAGATAACAATGCGTTGTCTAGTTTTTCCAACACGTCATCAACTATTTTCTTTACTTGATCAGCTTCATCCCTTTAACAACAACAATAATTATTACTATAAAAAAGAACAAAATGAGCACGAATTACCAAAGCTTATAAAATAAAATAGGACAAATTATATTCACCTGATGCCCCCACCCATTTCTGACATTAGAAATCAGGGATAATATATGTAATTGAAAATGGTATGTAGTGTTATATTATGATATAAATTAAAAAAGTTTGTATAAGGTAAAAAAATTAGAGGAAGATTAGATGAAATTTCCTTAAATCTGAGCGGTATTACTGTATTAAAGTAGAAAGTATTGATGAAAAATACTAATACCACGCTCTTTTAAATTTATTAAAAATTACAAATATTACGTGAATTTCATTCTAAAGAGAATGACATATTTATATAGTTTTTAATAAATTTCAACCCACAATTCAGAATGCATAAAAAGAGTGTGTTATTAGGTTCCTCGAGTATTAATTTACCTGCAATCCCTCGTATCCCAACCAGTCAAACGTGCAGCATGGGTGAGTGCACTTCCCCACCTCAACAAAAGATCAACCATGCCTCTCCCAGGGAATCTGTTTTCAGTAAGTTTTTCAAAGGCTTCTCCAAAAGCACCACTTTGTTCAAATACATCCAATGGATCAACATCATAAAAAATGGGCACAACCGTTTTCCCATAATCATGGTGGCAATCCATGATCTTCACCAACTCATCAAGACACCGAGCAGATTCAGCGTAGGTTTTGGAGAAAACAACCAAAGCTATTCGAGACCCTTCTATTGCTTGCGTGAGTCCTTTTCCCACCTCCTTTCGCTTGCGAAGCCCCTCATTTTCATTCATGAAAGTGTGGACTCTCGCACTTGAGAGGGCACTGTAGAGTTGAGAAACGAAGCTGCTGGAGCCATTGCCATGGCCCTCTCTGGAGTTGATGAACACGTCATAGACCCATCGAGGATTCGAAGATGAAGAAGAATTCATTGATTGATGAAAGAATTCAACCCATCGAGGATTCGTAGATGAAGAAGAATTCAGTGGTTGATGAAAGAATTCAACCCATCGAGGATTCGAAGATGAAGAAAACATTGTTTGAACACTGGTTTGATGAAAGAAATTAAGGTCAACCTAAGAAGGGTAAGCAAAAATGGAAAAAATACAGAATTGTGAAAACCGCTCTAACTCTCCCTTTTATCGCTGAGCAAGTGCGGGGTACGCACTCTGCATTATCACTGGCATCACTTGTTTAGTGTTTTCTTTTTAAGAGCATTGGAAACCCGCTTTTTCACACACATATTTTAATTAACAGTGGAAAAACAGTATCAAGAGAGTGACTCTCACAAGGCACACATCACATGTTGGGAAATTGACACATGTCAAACCTCCATGGCTCACAGTAGATGCGCACAGCTTCTGTAAATAATGATACTTGTCACTGGTTGGTGTATTGCACTTTTTGAAAAGCCATCACTATGCAAATATTAACACACGAACTATAAATAGTCTTAGCATTGTTCAGCGTTGATGCCAAAGTTTATATATATATATATATATATATATATATATATATATATATATATATATATATATATATATGCCCCTTTCTTTTTCCTTCTCTTTTTGAAGTTTATGTTTTTTTTAGGTCATTAAAATTTATTTGAGCTGTTTTTTAACTAATTTTTGGTTGTAATTATTATTATAACTATTTTAATCATATTTTTTAATTTTTTTAACATTATAAAATATTATTGTATTGGTTTGTTATTTGTTTTTATTTAGTTAAATTATTTTATTTGAATAATTGAATTGTTAATGCATTTTAATTAAATAATATTTAAAAATTAGCTAAATTATTGTAGTTACATATTCAAGTGAATAAATTCATTGAAGAATAGAAGGTTTGATATTTGAAAGAAATAAAAAAAATTTACAGATAAAATTAATATTACTTACAACAAACTTAAGAAGAATTTTTTAAAAAAATTAAAACTTTTAAAAAATGAAATTATTTCAAGTGTAACATATAAATTTTTGATATGCTATGAAGGAAAAATATATACATATATATAGCAATTTTTAAATATGTAATGGTGAAGATATTTAATGTATATGATAAATGCTCTTACAACAATTTTTAAAGACAATGCTTGACTTATATATTGACATTGATTTAGTTTGTAGTTATGCAATGATAATTTGAAGTAATATATAACCAATTTAGCAGAAAAATAACTTATAAGATTTAATTAATTGATTTTACAATTATGTAATTGTTGGATATTATAAAATTCCTTTAATTATATTTTTAAGTTGCTCTATTAAATATTTTATCAAATGATAATTGTCTTGATTATAATTTACCAATTATGTTAAAAATAGGCGACAATGATTTTGATGAGAGTGAAGTTGCTAATGGTATTGAAAATGACACTGATATTAAAGGCAACTTTGATTCCATTATTTAATCAAGTAAAATTAGTATTCCAGTTTCTTTAAATAGTTTGCAACATGAAGATAAACTAATACATGTATAAGTGATATGTATATAACTTTAATTAATTGAATATATTATATAATATTATTGTATTAACAAGAGAAGAGCAAAGTGTATTTGGAAATGATTCTCCACATTATAAATACATTAATTAGGATCAGTATGAAGAAGAAATAAAAATTGCATAATCAAATTTAGTTTGTTCTTGATAAATGAATAATGATTTATTTATTAGACTGTAATTTGAGCCCAAAATTGTTATTCAAATAACAGTTAATAAAGATCTATCAAATTGTTTTATGTATTTCAATTAAAGTTGACTATTTTAGATATAAAATGTCAAAATAATATTATTACTTACTTATAGCAAAATAATGCTGTTACTTGCCTGTAACAAATAAATAAGGTGGTCAACATAATTGTTTGAATGTTATAATATTTTAATATTAATGTATCATAATTGTTTAGATTCAAAATTTATTTATTCATACATTTTAAATATATCTTAATTGAACTTTGTTTATTTAAAATCTTTAATATATCAATTTAATTGAACTTTGATTATTTCATGTTACTATATTATATTTGCAAAGGGATAATATAATAACTTAATTTATATTATATATTTTTTACAAATATTACTATGTTACTAAATATAATATGCTTATTAAGTTTTATGATTTTTTTTATAATAATATTATAATTACAAACTACAACCATCACTTAAATATCTTTCTATTCTGAAACTTCATATTTAGACATAGAATACCAAATTTTTAAATATAATTAATTACTAATAAATTTAACATAATAACACAATTTTTAATAAAATATTATCTCACTATCCTGTTAAGCTACTTTCAATCAACACAACGTTAATATTATTTTACTAATTATTATAAATATAATATACTCAATTAACTTATATTAATATTTTTCTATAATTTTTATGTTATTAACTTATATTTTATTATTTATTTTTGTACTTACTAAATTAAATATACTTGTTAACTTTTTTTTTCATATAAATAGAAGAGATTTATTAATGTGAGTACAAGGGTACTCAAAATCTGTTATATAAAAGAAAGTTAACTACAACGATTAATATATATTTTTAGAATTTTCAGCCAATTCAAATATAAAACACTCCTTCTTTTTTTTTTATCTCATAAAGACCCACTTTTAGGATTAGAATTTAATTGACTCTATCCATTCTATCACATTAAAAATTCTAAAATTACAATCCTATTTTAACTTAGTCAAATGTTCTATATTGTAGCCATTTACACTAACATAATTAATGTCTACCTTCTCCCACATGCAAAAACCACACACAAAGACAATGTCAAGGTTGAAATATCCCTTAATAAAAGAATAATCAAATTTATCTAAGAAAAAAAATACGATACCAAATCTCCTTGACCTTCACACTTCAAAAATATATGTGCAACTTCCTCTTCATATGCACTACATAAACAACAATCAAATGATACAAGATGGACCTTACTTATTGACAAATTCACATTAAACGAGATTGCATTCAACAACACTTAGATCACTTTGCCAAAACTTTATGTAGAGCCTATATTTCTATACTTTTTTCAAAGTAACTTGTACATTTTGAGATAAAACCAACACTTATAAATAATTATATGCTGCTTTTATCAAAAAGATCTCACTTGGATCACTTTGCTACACCCACACATCCTGTTCTTGAGTCCTTCAAATGATGGAAATTATCTTGTTTAGAAGTTTACAAGATTAAAAACAAAATTAAGACGGACTAATTCTAAAATGATATATTCTTATTTGATTAAAATCAAAACAAAATTTTAATAGAAATTAATTTTAAAAGAGTATATATTTTAGTGATTAATTACTTATTTAATCTTATTTAAAATTAACATTTTATGTAACTAGTATGACGTAAAATACTATTTACTTAATCATTTCTTGATAGTTCTTACTTTATTGGTAAGGACTATTTAAAAGAATAAATTTGTAAAACTAAATTTAACAAACAAATTATAAAGACTGATTTTTTTAAAAAAACAAGTATATTTATAGAGATTATTTACGTATTTGAGCGTTTAAACTGTCTCAAATTCATGTAATATTTACCTTAGGTTCTTTCCGTACTAGATTAATATTGCTATATTTTAAGTCAATAGCAACTACATTTTGCTGATCAGAACTGTCAGGTAGGTGTTTTCAGGGAAATCCATGCCAATAGACCCATCTCAGGTGCTGGGGAAGATACTTATCATCTACCGCAAGTCGTACACGATTCAGTTTCAAAAGTCTTGAGAGTTTGTTTGTTTCCTCTCTTTAAATAGAGTTTTTTATTTTTAAAATTACAAAATAGAAAAACTTATTTGTTAATATAAATTTTAAAAATTAATTTTTATTTTCAGTTTTTAAAATTGAAAAGCAGAATTATTATTTAGGTATTTTTGTTTTTATTTTTTTATTTTTTCAAATTGACAAAAGTTTAACTAAAAATAGTTTTAAAAACTAAATTATCAAACAAACTTTATTTTTTTTTCCCTAAAAACAGTTTTATAAAATTGTTATAAAATATAATTTTTAAAAATTAAAAAAATTTAATCAAACAAACCCTTAGTGTCATCACATTCTCAAATGCTTTGGTATTGAAGCAAACTTGACTACTTTCCATTTGCAAAGTGAAGAAAAAAGAAAAAATTATAGAAAAAAATTATAAAGTAAAAGGGATCCTCGTCATTTTCTTGCTAAAAATAAGCAATGTTTGAATCTCACTATAATGTAAACAAGCAATGAATGAAGTTGCACACTGCACATCACAAGACAAATATTCTGAGTCATGAACTATATGACTTTTAGTGAAAAGAAAGAACAAAATGATACTACATAAAAGTAGTTTTGTGATTATGATAAGATCATGGAGCAAGATCAAAAGTTTCAAAATAGCATGTACAAAATCAAATCATGCATTCTCAACTTGTTATTCTTTTTTTATTTATTAATAACAAGGTATAAGCCTTAACAAAACAAAGCTTACTCACTACCTAGATAATTTGGAAAAACAAATTTTCTTATCGTTCTCTCTAAGGATGTGGACAAGTAGGGAAGGGGAAAATTCTAAAATAAACTTATTTTTCAGCCTATCAAAAACTCAGTTAGCAAGTCAATTCGTCCTAAAGACATGATAATGACTAACAATCCTAGTAGAACTTATAAGCAAAACATTTTCCTAATAATAGGATACAATTTGTTAGTTATTTATAGAAACACGAAAATTAACTAAAAGAATAACAAGTTTAGAATCCATTTCAACTAAAACTCCCTCTAAATTGAGGTCTTTACTCAACTTAAGACCTAAAAGAAGACCCTATAACTCTGAAGTTCTTATTTCTATGAACAGAACCATCCACATTAAGCTTAAATCTACATAAAAGAGGAGACAAACCAACAAAGATCTCTTACTTGCAAGTCTTAAAAAGAAAAGAATAAGAAGGGGTGACATCAGAAATTATATTAAAAGTATGTATATTAAGCTTAAGCAAAAAAACATTTAAATCCAAGGAATTTCTACTAAAAATTCAACCATTCCTATTTAACCAAAGAAGTCAAAGAGTAACCCCAAACTAAACATGCCAATAATTAATACTCCCTCTGCTCCTTTTTATCAGAAAACTTCTAGGTAATAGTTCAGAAGTTACGGTCCTTCTTATTATAGCTTTGATAGATTGATTTAGCAC